CTGCATCTATTGGATTGATCATGTGGTTCTTGTCTTTAAGTCTATTAATGTGAAGGATTACATTTATTGATTTCTGTATGTTGAACCAATCTTGCATCCCTGGAATGAACCCCACTTAATCATGGTGCACTATATTTTTTATACATTTTTGTATTATATTTGTCAAAATTTTATTGAGAATTTTTGCATTCTTTCCTTGATGTGTCTTTGTCTGGTTTTGGTATCAGGGTCATACTAGATTCATAGGATGAGTTTGGAAGGGTTCCCTCCTTTTCTATTTCATGGGATAATTTGAGGAGTATTGGTGTAAGTTCCTCTTTGAAGTTGGGGTATAACTTGGCTGAGAATCTATCTGATCATCTATATTTCATTAGTGTCTGCAGTGATATTTCCCTTTTCATCACAAATTCTAGTGATTTGAGTTTTCTCTTTTTCTTTGTTAGCTTGGCTGAGGGTTTATTGATTTTATTTATTTTTGCAAAGAACCAATTTTTTGTTTTGTCTATTTTTTGAATTTTTTGTTTCAATATCATTGATTTTAGCTGGTTTTTAATTATTTCCTGTCTTTTACTGCTTTTAGTGTTGATTTGTTGTTCTTTTCCTAGGGCTTTGAGATGTACTGTTAGGTCATTTATTTGGTGGCTTCAGTCTGTGGATATGTTTGCCTAAGAGGTGAGTCTCCTGGAGACAGCATACGGTGGGGTCTTGTTTTAAATCAAATCTGCCAGGCTACATCTTTTGATTGGTGAGTTTGGAGGCCATTGACTTTCAATGCTATTATTGAGATATGATTCTTATTCCCTGTCATTTTTATTTATTTCTGGTGTTTAATTTGAATTAGTTTCACCTTTGACTGACTATTCTTCTAGTGTAGTTCCTCCCTTTGCTGGTTTTCACTTTTATTTTTCATCTCTTCTTCATGAAATATTTTATTATGTTTTCCACAGTAGACTTATATATAGTACTTTTCACACATGTGTCACAATTTTTTTTAACTCATCAAAGGATCTTTAAAATACAAAGTCACTGACTATATAGGAGCATACATAATACCAATCTTATCTTTGAGATTTTAATCCTATTTTCAAATGAAATATTTCAAACAGAAAATTACTACAATATATATTCTGATTATTAAATTTCTAAAGATGGGGCCAACAGGTCAAAGAATACATTTTTGGGGGGTACTAGGGATTGAACTCGGGCACTCAACCACTGAGCCACGTCCCCAGCCCTATTTTATATTGAACTTAGCAACTCAGCGAGACCCTGTCTCTTAGTGCCTCACTGTTGCTGAGGCTGGCTTTGAACTCCTCCTGCCTCAGCCTCCTGAGCCACTGGGATTACAAGTGTGCGCCACCATGCCCAGCTACATTTTTCTTTTAAAATAAAATTTCTTTGAAAATAAAAATTTTAAATTATTTTTGAATAATCATGGAAAGGGTTCAAAACCAAAGTGATCTAAAAAGTTGACACAGGCAAGACTTATCTCCATCCTTGTTCCCATAACCTTATTTCTCCTTGTTCTCTTTGGCTAACTATTGTTCTTAGTTTCTTATTTTCCCTTCCTGTGTTTCTTCTCATTCTTACAAAAAAGGGGAAAATATTTAATATTATGTTCCATGCATTGCATTTTTGCCTTATGATATTTATATCATGGCAATCTGAGTTTATAAAAATACTCTCCTTTTGGGGGCTGGGATTGTGGCTCAGTGGTAGAGCACTTGCCTAGCATGTGTGAGGCACTGGGTTCGATTCTCAGCACCATATATAAATAAATAAATAAAATAAGGGCCCATCAATGTCTAAAAAAATATTTTTAAAAAATTACTCTCCTTTTGTCTTCCTGGTTGCGTACTATTCTACTGTGTGGATGTACTACAGTTCATACCACTAGGATCCCTGAGATGTTTTCTTATCTTTGGCTATTACAAATAGGGCTGTGATAAATTGTTTTTTGTTTGTTTGCTTGTTTGTTTTGGGTACTAGAGATTAAACTCAGGGGCACTTAACCATTGAGTCACATCCCCAGCTCTTTTTTAAAGTTTTGTGACCGGGTCTCACTAAGCTGCTGAAACTGACCTCAAACTTGCAATCCTCCTGTCTCAGCCTCCCAAGTTGCCTGGATGACAGGTATGTGCCACCACGCCCACCCAAGCAGGAACCTTTTGCAGGATCCCTGTCCTCATCAACAGTTTAGCTTTAAACTGTTTTACAAAAATTTTGAGTCCATCGGAAGTGTAGTGACTCATTGATGAAGTTCTAATATAAAGGGCAGAAAAAAGGTACCTGAGGAATTATGCAGTAAATGCAAAGGAAGCTTCTTCCTAGTGTGCAGGTACCATCTTATTGTTTTCTCTTTATTGCCACATGTGTCATTCCTGGCTAATTTCATATCTTTCACTGCAACAAAAGGATGTGATCATTGTTACTGCTCACAGTGCCTTAGCACGTCAGTTTTTTGGTGTTGAAATGGTATTTTTCCTTGCTTCTGTACATTTCCCGAACACCATCATTTCATGCCGCTTCTGTCATCGCTCACGTGCCTACATCATCTTGCCCCCAGGGAATTCTGGCTTCCAGTAAGTCTCTCAAAGATGGTTACTGTGCTGGGTAAAGGCTGGTCGGATCCAGGGTATGCAGGAAAATACAGGCAGTAGTTTCTTCATCATATTACCTTTAACTTCTGGAATTGTCTAAATGCAGAACCACCTTCCAGCCCTGTCTTGACCTTGGGCTATGACGACTGCATTCCTGACTTGTGACCTCCCTCGACATGGGCCGCATCCCACCTTCCACATATGGTCACCAGTGGGGAGGATGGTGAGGGGCCACGGGTAGTGAGGGGATCACGGTCCATCAGTGAATGCCTGTTCCTGGTCTGGTGTGACTTCAGCATGTCACCTGTAGGCAAGGACACCATCTGGAAAGGTGGGCTGTGGAGCAGTGGTCTTAAGTGCCTTCTGCAGAGAGAGGGATGTCACCCCAAGGGCGGCTGGCACGGGGCACGGAACCCGCAGAAGGCGCGGGGAGCCTTCCTGAGTGTCAGTGTTGGGGTGCTGCCACCCCTCACCCTCAGGCGCTCAGAGGCAGAGCCAGCTGGAATGCTGGGGGAGAGCGGAGGTTCAGGTCCAAGGGCCCACAGCTCTGAACTTGTCCGACATCACAGTCACCCAAAACCAGCATGGTAGCTTCATTCTGGCCAGTAAAAGCTATGAGCTCTCAGAGTTGCCTTCTTGGAACGGGCTGGCCACAGAATCCCAGGGCAACCCCATAGCCGAGGGGGTGAAGTGAGCCAAGGCCCTGTCGGGGAGAACAGCCCCAGCCGGTGGCAGGGTTTAGACAGTGATGGTGCCGAGTCGAGAGCTTCTGGAACCAGGCGGGGGGTATCTGCCCAGACCACTCAGCAGCCCCACAGCCCAAGGACCAGGGGAGAGTTAGAAGTAAATGTGAAGAATTCACTCTGAAGAAGGGGTAGGAGACCCTGTGTGTGTGTATACATGCACGTGTGTGCACAAAGGGCCAGAGAGGGACTATTTCAGGTTCTGCAGGCTGCATTGTCCCTGGCAGACACTCCATTCTACCGTGGAGAGGGGAAGCAGCCCCAGGTCGTATGTAAACATGGGCATGGTCACGTGCTAAGAAAACTATTTACAGAAACAGGCAACAAACTGAATTTGGCTCCTGCTTGCAGTCTGTGAAACTCTGCTGTCAATCACGCAGCAGAGGGACTGGGACAGAGGTTTTCCTCGCATGGTCCGAAGGTGGTGACGCTGCGATTACAAGATTCAATGATCAGTGCTTTCGTTGTTTGTTGTCCATGGCCAGAGTCACTTCTCCAGAGCTTGTCATTCTGTCCTACCACTAGCCATTCTGTCCATCTCCCTTCGGCCTTGCCAAGCACACGTTTTATCCAGTTTTGGATTTCTGCCAATCTGATGGGCAAGTGGTAGCTCCGTATGACTTTACCCAGCATGCTTTAAGGGGACTGAACATCCATTTGTTTTCTTGTCTGTAAGTCCCCGGCCCCCAGCTGTTTCCCTGTTGGACTTTCCTTCCTGATTTACGAAGTCGTATTTGTTGGATACATTGACCTATAAAAGCCAGCCAGGTCAAGGTGTGGTGTGAAGGTCTGGGAGACTGAGTAGCCAGGCCAGTGGCGCTGTCCAGCAGGCAACTGGAAATACAGACATGGAACCCAACCGAGAATCTGGGACTGGAGAAATAAACTTGGAAATAATCCGTAGAGATACTTATAACAATGAGATGGAGAGATCGCCTAGGAAAAGAGTAATAGAGGAGAGGTGGTAAAAAGGGAGCCCGGGAGCTTCCCAGCATTTAGAAGTTGAGGGCAAGAAGACTACCAGACAGACGAACGGACAAGGAGCTTCAGGTAAAGCAGGGAAGAAAGCAAAGGGCACAGAGAAAATGCTTCAGGGAGAGAGGAGACTGTCCAATGCTTTTAGAGACCGAGGGAGAGGAGACATTTTGTTGGGGACTCGTCACTGGGCTTGACGACATGGAGACTGTTGGTGACCTTGTCAGGCATAGTTGCAGTGCAATGGCAGGAACACATGCCTCATCTCCCAGAAAGGACTCCCAGTGGCTTCTGGGCTGAGGGTGAGTCAACGTCTGAGGTCACAAATGGGAAGATCTTCCAGAGCAGCCGTGTGCTTTCCTTGCGCCATATATAGCTGGTCAGCCATGGGCAAAGCCAAGACAGAAAGACACTCAGCCAGAGCTGTTGTCCTGCCCCACAAGCACCAAGGGGTCAGTTGAGGACCCAGGGCTGACAGGCCAAGGAGGAGAGAGGACATGAGGAGAGTCCCTCCACAGCCCGTAAAGGCAAGGCCATGCCCCGGAGGTGGAGGTGTGGCCAAAGCTGCCTTTGTTAGCTGCATAGGAACTTGTGCAAGAAACCACCCAGCCTCTTCTGAAGGATTTCCACCCAAGCTTGGTGTTCTGTAGCTCATCAAAAGCAAGCACAAGGAGCCTGGGCAAACGTTTCGTAAATTTTATTCTTGGGTTTACAACAGTTCAAGATGACAGAAGCCCATTACCGACGGGTAGGCCACACCACAGAGAGCATAAGGCAAGAGAGCCCTGTGACCAGACCCACTGAACCACTCAGTTGGCGACCTCATGGAGAGTCTGTGCTGTGGGAGTTTTTTTTTTTTTTTTCAATGTCTCCCAGAAGATACATTACCACACGTTTTTATTTAACTAGGTTCTGAGAAACTTGACTTTTGAAAGAAATGGTTGGTGGGCAAGAATAGAAAAAATGACTTAAAAATGTTTAAATAAAGTGCCCAATAAATCAGTGAAAGAAGAATTTTGGAAAACAGGAGTTTTTATATGGTATAAAAATAAATACTGTTAATTTACATTACATAAGGCTGAAAATAAATTATTTTATGGATAAATTTTAAAAATCATCTTACTGGTTACATACTATATGAAGGCTTTTCAAAAGACTGGTAGTAATTTTTAAAGGAATTTGTATCCTTTTATAATCTGTTAATCTGTGACTGATCTTCCCATTTTCGTGCCCTCCCCATTACATGCCTTTTAGACATTTTGCTGGTCTAACCAAGGTTGCATTGCAAAAGCAAACGGACACAAGCTCAGTTCAGTCCTCCTAATTACCACCCCTGGCAAACAGCAAGCTCTGGGGAGGGTGGTGGCAATTTGATATTCTATGAAATAAGTCATTGCTCTTCATTCTGAAGCTCCTGTTATAAATGTTTTCGTGGTTTGAGTTCTTTGATCTTGGGAATATGGGGGATAAAGCTGGCCGTGCTCACCCTCAGACGCATCGCACCGCGGCCTCCGTCTGATGTGAACGATGTGCACTACTCCATTGGACTTTTGCAAACCTCGTTTCTCCAATTGGCTTCTTTGTAGTTAATCAGGTGGGTTCTCCTGGGGCGCACAGGGCTATGGATGTGTCCCAGAAAGGGCACTGACCTGGAATTCAGGGAGGTGACAGCTGGTCACTTAGCAGTGTCTGACCTAGGTCACAGGTCTGGTTGTGAGGACTGGGCGGCCCATCTTTAAAAGTGCTTTGGAATACAGAATGCACCAGATAAAGTTGTTAGCTCAACCTTAAAAACTGTGGCCTGCTCTCCAATTTTTTTCCCTAGGTTAAAAAAAAAATCAATAGAAATAATTGAGAAATGTAATTGTATATGAATCATAGAGCCCAAATGTAAATAATTTACAAATGCTTTACAATAAAATCAAAGATATTATCCATGGATTTAAAAAAATTAATCCATGGATTTTTTTAAAATAAAAATCTTTGCAGCTAAATATTCATCAACTTAAATTTAATCATTCTTTCTTTTATAAGAATGTTCTCTATATGATATCATAACTCTCCAAGGGAGAAATTCCATAATTAGTTCAGTTCTCTGCCTTAAAACCTTCATTATAAGACAGAAGAATGGAATAATTAAAGTTTAAAAATAAGCAAAAATATATACCTCTAAACCACAGCCCCCTTATTTTAAAGAGCTTAACAAGAATACTTCCCCAATATATTTTTAAACAACCTACTATTTATATAATAATGCTAACTCACAACTTAAGCCACGATGATCATCAAAGTTATGTGCCTTTTTATTCCCTCAACAGTTTAATAATTTAATTATTAAATAATGGTCTTGAGAGATTGCACTGCAGTTAAAGCCCAAACTGTATGTGAAATAAAAATGCTCATCTACTGAATAACTAAGGTGCTGGCTAAGTGGTTAGACCATAGCTGAGAGTTTTAGAAAAATACTGGAACAATACAGCAGTGTCCCTAAGGTCCCTGTGGAAATAAGCCTGTGCTGACAGGTGCATGGGGGCTCGAGTGCTTGGTGAGTAACCCAGCTTCCCCTTGAGCCTCTTGAAAAGGGCAAAGGAACCCCTTGCCAATCTTGAATCTATATCAGGATTATATTAAATAATATCTCGTTTTGAAATAAGAAGAAACCACTAATTACAATGTAGGTAACAAATACTGAATTCAGCAGCAAAGTGTTGGGATCAAATGGCAGGAGCCTCAATAAACTGTGCTGAAGGACACCTCTATACCCATGGCTCAAGAGCACGGGGATCTTGACGGTCGACTACTGGCACTGGAGTTCATCAAAAGCTTCTCTCATTTCTCTCTCTCTCACACAACTGCTCATGCCATCTTGTGTCTACAGATGCAGCTCAAGTTATCTTCCATTTTTCACTGTTTTCTGAGAAAGATCAACAAATCAGTGATCAAAAATGGCCAACTGCTCTCATGAAAGACCTCTCAAGAGCATTCCTTGTTTAAAGGGGAGCCTGCCAAGAGCTTGCAGAGTTGAAATTAAATTAGTGTTGGCCAGGGTCATTTCAGATGCAGGTAAAAGCAAATTTATCTTATGCTCAGCAGAACATATTTAGGTCAGTTTAGGAGCAGGTAATTGGTAAATTTATCCTCAGCTAGCACAGAGGCGGGCATAATTCAGATGATTAAAAGCCTGGTGGGTGCCCTTCGATTCACGGTATGCTTTGAAGTACAACACATCTGCCAGACAGAGGCAGAGCTAGGGCTATTTCCTCTGACTTTGCCTTAAAACTTAAACAGTAATAAAAGTACATTTCTGCTATGTCTGTGGTTTCAAAATTATTCATTGTAAACATTCTATAATATATATATATATACACACACATATATATTCTTTCCTATTTAATTAATTTCAGAGCTTGAGTTTGTATCTAGGTCTATGTCAAATTATTTATTCTACAAAAAGCAGCACAAATACTGTTCATTCTGGTTTCAGGAAAAATTCCTTAAAAAAAAGTTAAGGCCATTTAATTGAATCAGGGCCAACTGAAGATTACCCTGGCAGAAGTCAAACTAGTGACGTAAGAGTTTTGGAAAAGAGCCAGAAGTGGTCATCTTGGGTGCTCCTCCTGGGTGACTTGAGAGCAGCAGGTAGGATTTATTAGTCTCCGACATCGCCATCTCGGTCCCCAATGAGCCACAGGAAATGGAAACTCAGGGCTAACAGAGCTGTGCCCAGCAGGTCGCCCAGCGCCGTCAGGTAGGGGATGGAGAAGCTGTCCGGGTCCTTTCCCTTCCTCCAGAAGCGGTGCACCATCCAGTCGGCGATCCACAGCAAGGTGAAAACCTGGGGGAGACGCAGAGGTGACTCCCCCGCCCGGACACCCCACCCCAACAGGCTCGGAGCCCAGGCCGCTGGCCTTGAGAGGAACATTAGGTGTCCTGAAAGGAAGAGATAATTAACCAACAGGATATTTTTCTTTCAGAAGGAAGAACAGCATGTGTGTCTGCGGTTCTTCACATTTTCTTAAACTTTCACGTGTCCTCTCATTTCAGCCAACCTTCTGTCACCGCAATGGTCACGGTTTTAATAGCATCAGACAATCTCTAAACCACTCTTAGGTTTCAATTTTTTTCTCTAGAAGAAGGACTAAGACATGAAGAGAATAAAAGTTAAAATAAGAAATTATCCCAGGCATACCAAAGGAGATGAAGATGGAAAGCTGACCATTTATGAATGATCAGAGGTCACTTGTGGCTTGAGAAGGACAACTTCAGCGCCAGGGTAAGAACCGTGACCAGGAGGCGAGAGCTCGGAGTGACACACATGGCGATGAGTATCCTACAGGGCCATGCGGACACCAAGGTGATACGTGTGAGTATCTTCTAGAATATCAAACCTACGGAACGCTATGGGGGGCACTGAATTTGGGGACCACATCAGTGTTTTTTCTTTGATCCATTTAGAGAAGGAGGATTCTCTATCTTCAAAACCCTGAGGCAGTAAAAGGAACCCAGGATGGGGATGGTTGTGGACAAGCCGGCCAGGGCAGCCCGGGGCGCTTTCCCTGCTGCCCTCCTTCCTCCAGCACTTATTACCGGGCCACAGGCAAGCTTCTTCACCTTCCTGTTTCTCCAAATGCACATTAGGAATGACAATGGCACCAAAGTCATGAAAATGTTGTAAAGATTAAATAGCAGACTAAATAATTTGGTGCCTGAGACAATAAATTTTGAGTAAATTAACAGTATCCATATCATTACTACTTTTGTCCCTGCAGCCTTGAGAACACCTGGTGTGTCAGCAGGAAGGCCACCCTAGGTCATGCCAACAGCTGGTACCTTTCACTATTTTGGCAAATAGGTGGCCATGGAGTGAGGCATCTGCCTTAGGTCCCAAATGCCGAGTGCTGTAAGTTCAGCTCTGACACCTTTACCACAGAGTAGCCTACCCAGGGGAGACAGGTGCCAGCTCCAAATGAGTGGACTTCAGATGCCCTGCACATCTGTCAGAGGCTGTGCTTTAACCCCACTGTCTTTTGCATGAGGCTGAGCTTCACTAGTGTTTCCACGGCAAAGGCTGCTTTGAAGTCATGAAAAGTTTCATCAAGCCACTCTGGGAGTTAAAGGGCATGGCATATTAAAAAGAATCCTGAACTTGGACATTATCAGATTTGGATTTGATTCTCAGTTTTTTCTTTGGGTAATTTCTTACCACTCTCAAATTTCTCATTTGAAGAAAACAAACACAATAGGACCTAATATCTGTTCAATTGACTTTGGAACCATCAACAAGAGCCTTGGTTTCGGGGATGCAGGGTAAGGGGAAATGGCAGAGTAATGTCACATCCAAGAGTGCAAGAGAATACAGACAGACAATATAAAGAGAGGAGGAAAATTCACCATCAAATTAACACAAATCATAAAAAAAACCCAATCAGAAGTCTTGGACCTAACAACTTCAATGAAATGAAATATACATGAGAACTCCCCTAATGGATTAGAACAGGCAGAAGAAAGAATTTCTGAACTTGAGATGGGTCTTATGAATTAACCCAGTCACAACAAAAAGAAATGAAGAATGAAGAAAGCCTGCAAGACTTACAGAACACAATTAAGCAAACAAATATCCCATAAGGTAAAGAAAAGGGGAAAGCTATGGAAAAACTATTTCATGAAATAGCCAAAAATTTTCCAAATCTTCAAAGAGATACAGACATCTAGATTCAAGCAGCTCAAAGGACCCCATCTAGATTCAACTAAAATAGACCTTCACCAAAATGCACATTATAGTAAAAATGTCAGAGCACAAGAAAAGATCAAGAGAAAAACATCAAATTATGTGTATGGGAAGATCCAGTAGACTTAAAGCAGACTTCTCAGCAGAATCTTACAGGCCAGAATACAGTGGGATAAAACATTTAAAATACTGGGGGTGGGGGGTGGGTAGCTGCTAACCAAGAATACTATTCCCAGAAAAACTATTCTTCAAAACTGAAGAAGAAATAGAGCAGAAACTGAAGGATTTAATCACCACCAGACCCAACCTACAAGAAATACTTAAGGACGTCCTACATTAGAAAGGAAAGAATAACTGCCATCGTGAACACATGGATGCATAAAATTCTGTAGAAGACATAAGAGAACCAAACTTTTGCATTATAGAAAACTATCAGATCACATAAATAAAGATAGAAGAGGTAGAGAAGAACAAAAACTCTACAGAGCAAGCAGAATATAATTAACAAACTGACAGGAAGAAGTTTATACTTTCATTTGTATAAACTTTCAAGTTTATACAAATGAAAGTCTGAATGTAAATGAATTAAATTCACCAATCAAAAGACACAAACTGGCAAATGGAATTTAAAAAGGCGGGGGGCAAATGTATGCTTTCTACAAAAAAACTCACTTCACTGTTCAAGACAGAGACTACAAATGAAGGATTGTCAAAAGATGATATATGTAAACAGAAACCAAAAACAAGCAGGAGTAGCTATACTCAGACAAGGCAAACCTTAAATCAAAACCTGTAAAGCATTGGGTGTGGAGGCACATGCCTGTAATCCCAGTGGCTTAGAAGGCTAAGGCAGAAGGATCACAAGTTTGAGGCCAGCCTCAACAATTTAGGCCTTATGCAACTTACTGGGGATGTAGTTCAGGGGGCGAGCACCCCTAAGTTCAATCCCAGGTACCAAACAATCCTATAAAGACAGACAAATATATTGTTAAATAATCAATTCAGCAAGATTTAACAACTTTAAATATACATGCACCTAACACAGGATGACCCAACTACATAAAACAAATATTAGTAGATCTAAAGTAAGAGATAGATTCTAATACAAAAACAATGGGGGACTTTAACACAGTGGTTTCCTCAATGGACATATCATGCAGGTATAAAATCAACAAAGAAACATCAACTTGAACCTTACTACAGAGCAAATGGACCTAACAGATGTTCACAGAGCACTTTGTCTAACAGCAGCAGAATACCTGTTCTTCTCATCAGCACATAGAACATTCTCCAGGACAGGTCCTATGCTAGGCCTCAGTCAAGTCTCAAAAAATTCAAAAAGGACAAATCACATCATGTGTCTTCTCAGACTATACTTGAATAAAACTACAAATCAAGAAGAATGGAAAGTACACAAATACACAGAAATTGAATAACATGTTCTTAAATGACCAAGGGAAACTGAGGAAAAGGGGAATTTAAAAGTATCTAGAAACTAATGAAAATAACACAACATATTAAAAATCTGTGGGACAAGGAAAAGCAGTACTGACAGGGAAGTTTACAGCAATAAATTAAAAACAAAGAGCTCAAACAACCTAATAATGCACCTCAAAGAACAAATAAAACCCCCAATTAATAGAAGGAAAGAAATAATGAAAATCAGAGCATAAATAAGCCAAAATAAAAAAAAATACAAAAAAAAGATCAAAACAAAGAATTGGGTTTTTTTGAAATGATAAAAGCTAGATTAACTAAAAAAATTCCAGATAAACAAAATTAGAGATGAAAGAGGTGATATTGTAACTGATAACCACAGAAAAAGATCAAAAGAAACTATTATGAATATTATATGTTACAAATTGGAAAACCTAAAATGGAGAAATTTTTGAACAACATGCAACTTATCAAAACTGAGTCAAGAAGAAATTGAAAAATCTAAGCGGACCAATAAAGATTTAGAATGAAGCAGTAATTAAAAATCTCTCATCTAAAAAGTCTAGGACCTGCTGGCTTTACTACTGAATTCTATAAAATTTTTAAACAAGAACTAATTAAAATAGTCTTAAAACTATTCTAAAAATCTAAATTGAAGGGAATTCTGCCAAATTCTTTTTATAAGGACAGCATTATCATGATGCCAAAACTGAAAAAAAGATAAAGCAAAAAAAGAAAAATACAGACTTATATCCCTGATGAAAAAAATTCTCAAAATACGAGCAAACAGAATTCAACAGCACATCCAAAAGATCATGTGGTATGATCAGGTGGAATTCATCCCTAGAATGCAAGGATGGTTTTATATACACAAATCAATAAGTGTGATACAGCACAGCAACAGAATGAAGGACAAAACCACATGGTCTTTTTCAATACACAGAGAATACTTCATTTATACTTCATGATAAATATGCTCAACGAAACTGGGTATAGAAGGAAAATACCCCAAACACTATTTGAAAGACCTTTAGCCTGTATCATACACAATGAGGAAAAGTGTTTCCTCTAAGACTGGAAATGAGACAGATATCCATTTTTTCTATTCTTACAGTGTTGGAAGTCAGCAAGAGCAATGAGGCAAGAGAAAGAAAGAAAGGGCATCCAATTTGGAAAGGAGGAAGTTTAAGTATCCATGTTTGCAGATGACACGATTCAATACACAGGAAAACCCAAACATTCCATCAATAAAATTGTTAAAATTTATAAATGAATTCAGTAGTTGCTAGACACAAAATCAACATACAAAAAGCAATACCATTCTGCACATCAATAATGAACCTGATTGCCAGGTGCAGAGGCACACACCTGTAACCCCAGCAACTTGGGAGGCTGAGGCAGGAGGATCTTAACTTCAAGCCCATCACTGGCAATTAAGTGAGACCCTGTCTCAAAATATAAAAATAAAGGGCTGGCAATTTGTCACTCAGTGGTAGAGCACCCCTGGCTTTAATCCCCAGTACCATAAAAATAAGTAAATATATAAACATGGTGTTACAAAAACTGAACTTTCTGAAAAATAAATTAAGACAGCAATCCCATTCACAATAACTACAAAAATATTTAGCAATAAACTTAACCAAAGAAATAAAAGATCTCTAAAATGAAAA